TAAAATACATTCAAAATAAAAGAGTTTAAATTACAATAAATAAAAAAATATATATATTTATTATATCTCAAAATGTATATTATACAGTAAATGATTATGACTTATAGTCAGTTTAAATAAATAAGAACAGTGAATACACAAGTATTACCCTCAATTTTAAATAGTCCCCAAAATCATAATATGTTAATCACAATGATAGTATCATAAAGAATTCCTCTGAGCTGAGCATCCAAAAATAAAATCCCTATCATTTAGCAATCTGTTGACATTGACTAGAAATATTCCACTATCTAATCCAAATAAAATTCCCTCTTGAATAGCTGAACGGCTGCTTGTTGATCTGGTATGGCGCCTGGTTGCTGGACAGCGTTGCAGAGCAGCTAAATTTCGTTGATCACGGCGAGAATTTGGCTTCCATATTGTGCATACTCCTAGGCATAGTGGTTATAATAGCCAGCGTATTTGGCACTGTCGCCCTGCTCAAGGAGTGCAAGAGGATGTTAATTAGTGTGAGTGATGAAACGGTTTATGTAAAATGGGAAATATTGAAAGGAAAGTCTTTCTAATCTCTTATAGTATGCAGTGCTGTTGATTGTGCTGTTGATCATACAGTTTATCATGTTTAGTATTGCGGCCAGTCGGGATACCTTGCCGAGCAGCTTGAAGCAGGGCTTCGATGATCTGTGGGATCCACAGCAGAGACTCAACAGCACGCTGAACATTTACGAGGAATGGGTGAGTAGTATTTGTAAACAGATTAACTGCGGATAATATATAAATCTATATATGCTAAATATAATATTTGTTCAATAGCTGCAGTGCTGTGGTCGCAACAGTCCCGAGGATTATATTCTATTGGATCGTCAGCTGCCAGCTAGCTGTTGCTTGGAGCGTGACTGCACAAATCCAATGAATCTCTTCATGGACGGCTGTGAGCAGAAGTTCAAGCTGTATGTCAACGGAAAGACAGACGCCTTTCATACGATCAGCTGGTTTCTAATACCGACTGAGGTGTGTACAAAGGTTTTATATAAAAAAAACTATTTTTCAATTTAATGTGTAATAGCAAAGAATTACGCAATACGTATATATACAAATAGCCCAATTCCCCTCTTATGTTTTTTTTACCCTTACAAAAGCTAATTAATAATTTTTTTTATATCTATCTTTTTTCACCTGCAGTTTATGGGCTCTGTGGCCACCTGTTATTTGGTGGATAGCATACGAAATCATCGAGATCGCGTGCGTTTCTATAATTAAGTTGTTCGGTTGATTATTATTGTCCCACTGCAGACGTATTATAATTATGCTTAGCCATTGTGTCATTGTGATTTGTAATTTAGTACAGTTAGAAAAAAGAGAGACATGTTTTACTATGTTCATTGATAAAAATATCAATGACAGAGCATCGAAATGCGTTGTAAGACTCGGAAACTCCCACGTCATAAAGATAAATATAAATAAAATATATCTATATGCATATGTATGTATATACAAAACCATAATAAAACCTGTTGTTACTGACTAATTTCTTGTTGACTGCCAGATAAATAATATAAGCACAGCAATGAATTTAAAAATGAGTAGGATTCAATGGGCAAGCCAACAGATAAAATGGAAGAGAAAAATAGCACACATACAGTTACAGATACGGCCACAAAGATACAGATACAGTCGCGGAGAAGCGCCTTCGCCTTTCCCAATAAGAGCAGCCATGTGGGCGACGCTCGATTTTCTCGTTATACATAGATCAATGGCTGAGTGAAAAGCTGTTCTATTCGCCATATACTCGCACTTTTAGCAACAACAAAAAATAAAAACAAAATGTAAAATGTTTCAGTTGTTGTACGGCACTGAAAGGCAACGGTCAGAGATTTGCTTTGCAGTCGTCGCATAAATATATATATTTATTTATCTAGATATATATATATGTATTTTCTCGACGTATTCGTAATCATCATACGCGCGCTCACCTTAACCAAAACTGGCTATTGCCATATACGTAATACCTACTTAATGCATTCTGACTGATATTTTAGTTTTATTTTACCTTGCTGTTTTGAATAGCTCACTCGAGCTAGTCAGCCTGCCAGTCGGTTAGACGTTTAGTCGGTTAGTCAGTGCGACAACTGCTGCCGTCTCGTCAGCTTCTTTCATTTGCCAGCTGCAGACTTACAACAACAATAAGATGGGCCTATCGGAGACTACAGTGAAGCATCTGCTGCTGCTGCTGAACTTTGTATATACGGTATGTAAAAGCTGCTGGGAAGAAAATTCAAATGAAAATAGAAAGAAACTTTTATCTGATGCGCACCTGTTTTTTATTTTTGCAGATACTCGGTCTGGTGCTGATTGGTTTTGGCATATTCTTTCTGTAAGTAAATATACATGGAGTAAAGATTAGAGTTTCAGCAAATTTTCAATAAATTTCCCAGCAATTAGTTGACTTCAATTAGGTTTGTGATTAAAGCCAATTGAATACAAAGCAATCAAGTCTAATACTATACAAATAAGTTGGAAGCTTTTACTATACACGTATAATAATTTTTAATATCAGGTATATGTTTTTCAATAAGATATAAGAATAGATGATAATATGGATGCTTACAGGTAGTTAGGGCTATAAATATCTATATTATCTATTCGATCTATAAACGAAATATTAACCGAATAAATTCTAGATGGATAGATAAATATAGCAGCAAATCAAAATATGTAACTATTTACCAATGTATTTATTTATCTATTATTAAATATATATACTACAATCAGTCAGATAAAACCCTATGCATATATTTTGATATTCTATATAATATATTTCAATTTAATCTTATCAAATTTATTGCCTTATCTTTGCAGAATATATGTAACTTCAGTGAGCATTGGCGAGAATGTGGCTGGTGGCTTGATCATTGGTCTGGGCGTGGCCATAGTCATAATTGCAATCACTGGCTGTTTGGTTGCGGCACGCGAATCCTCCAGAGGTCTGCTCGCTGTAGGTACAACTTCACGTGGAATTTTATATGGTTAACTAATGTACTTACTACATACAGTACATTTTGGCTGTGGTGCTGCTGATACTCACTCAGCTGCTGTTCCTCAGCATGGTCTCGCACGGCACCCAGGACGGTCTCTCGGGCAGCATAAATGAGGGCTTCGATAAGCTCTGGGATGCCGAACGCAATGAAACTGGCGCCTTGGCCTACTACGAGACCTGGCTACACTGTTGCGGTGTCAATAACTCCGGAGACTACGCCGTGATCAATCACGCGGTGCCCAGAACCTGTTGCCCGGAGCTCAAGTGCGTCAGTCCCGCCAGTGTGTACAAAGTGGGCTGCAAGTCGCAGTTTGTAGAGTATTTGGACGACAGGCTATTGGTCTTTAAAATTGTTTGCTGGCTGCTATTAATAGGCGAGGTATTACGAGAATAAAATATAAATATTGCGATATATATATATATATATTAATATATTGCAAACTCTTACAGGCTGTTGGCGCCTTCCTAGGCTGGATGATGTTGGCCGGCTTGAGGAATAAAGGACGCCGCAGCAACTCCGTTTGGATGTAAACGTAATTTAACACTAAGCCTTAAGTATTATATTTAATTAAGAAAAGTAAAAAAAAAAAAAACAACTAATCTTTATTTGTTTTAATACCATTAAAGCCATTTACTAAAATTTGCAAACAATTTCTATTTTTGTTTAGTGGTATTTAAAACTTTATTAATGCCCTCGAATTTTGCATGCTAAAAAACTAAGATAAAAAATAATTTGATCGAGCTAGTCATATTTAGTAGAGCTCATATAGCAATATCATGCTCATGCTTGAATGTGTATAAACAAATATATATTATATATCTATATATACAATATAATATTGTGTTTAAACAAATATATATATATCTATAAAATATAATCATACTAAATATACTTTTGACCATACTCTTGATTTTAAAAATAACAGCTTTTGAATTATATCAAATATACATATATGATTGGCAAACAAACACAAATTACACAATTAAATATTAATTTATGTTAATTAACTCTTTAAATCATATTTAGTTTTCTTTAGGAGGAATAAAGGACGCCGCAGCAACTCCGTTTGGATGTAAACGTAATTTAACACTAAGCCTTAAGTATTATTATTTTTAATTAAGAAAAGTGAAAAAAAAAACAACTAATATTTATTTGTTTCAATACCATTAAAGCCATTTACTACAATACACAACCAATTTTGATTTTTGCTTAGTGGTATTTAATACTTTATTAATGCCCTCGAATTTTGCATGCTAAAAAACTAAGATAAAAAATAATTTGATCGAGCTAGTCATATTTAGTAGAGCTCATATAGCAATATCATGCTCATGCTTGAATGTGTATAAACAAATATATATTATATATCTATATATACAATATAATATTGTGTTTAAACAAATATATATATATCTATAAAATATAATCATACTAAATATACTTTTGACCATACTCTTGATTTTAAAAATAACAGCTTTTGAATTATATCAAATATACATATATGATTGGCAAACAAACACAAATTACACAATTAAATATTAATTTATGTTAATTAACTCTTTAAATCATATTTAGTTTTCTTTATTTCGTGAATTTTCCTTTCTACAGTTAGAATTAGCAGATATTACCCGCTTGGCACTTCTGGTGGTATTCTATCAATAGTTCGCAAATTTGTGCCCTAGATATGTATAAATACCTAAATATAGAATTATATTACGTATATAGATGTGACTCTTGATATTTAATTGGGATATGCAAACTGACTAAAATTATATTATACACTAAACAATTACCTAAATCTGTAATTTGGGTACTATTGAAATACCATGGCGATTGTTTAATATTTTGACAAACTCTGCAATGGCACACCCTGTATTGTTTAAGCGCCTGCGCTGAACGTTGCGACAAAATGAAAAGGAAAGAAAAAGAAAAAACAAATTCGTTGAAGCTCGAAACCATGTCAGACGTCAGTCGATTGGCAACGTTCGGGCTATAAGCGCGGCAGCGAGGTCCGTATTTGGCTTCAATTGGAGGCGCGTCAATAATGCCCCCCAGCGTCGCATAGGCAACTGGGTTCACTGTCATTGTCATACAGGCGCATAAATAAATAGCCGAGTGTACGGCGGCATCTATTCAATTGCAGCTAGTGAGAAATCAGTCGTAAGTGCGTAGTGCGTAGTGAGAAGTGCGAAGTGCGAAGAGTGTGTGTCTGCGGCAAATGGTTTCCCTCGTGTTCAATTAAAACGTTTTCTTTTGTCCCGCTATCGCTTTATAGTTCCTCATTGCTGGCAGCCATGGAGAAGTCATTTGACATCACACCCTGGAAATATGCGCTCTTCACAACATGCATTTTGATATCGGTAAGTCGTTGACCAACCAACCGAAGGCCGTTGGCTGACCCGATTATATCGACCGCATAGACAGTGTGTAGCCACGAAAAGCCAAGCTAATTTCCGCAAATACAAGGAATAAATCGATATTTTCGTGAATGTTGCAGAGATCTCTAAACAGCTGTCGGCACTCGGCAATCAAATGCCTTTTAATTATATTGCTGAATGTTTACGTTAAGCATTTGCACTCATCATTTGCTTTTGGTTATTCTTTTCTTTTGACATACATGTGGTATACGCAATGCGGCGCAAGATTTGCATAATTGCGGGCCACAGCCGGCAATACAGGCCCACACCTATGTATATAGCTGTAAATCTATTTATGACAGCCAAATGGCAATATTTATAAATTGAAAATGCCCGTTTCAATGACTATGTATGTTTGCTCACCCATATGCACATATTTATATTTCGAATGTAAGTGAATGTAGAGAATTATGAGTTCTTTCAATTCTCCTTTGGTTTCTATACGTAAACATTTTACTGGGCTGTAAGTTGAAGGCTTTTCGAACTTGAACTAGTGTTGGATTACTTGACTTTTCTTTCTTTATTTTTAATCTAATTGTGCTTTTCTCTTCTTTATTTTCATTTCTTTTATGCTACTGTGTGTCAATTGTAACTCTTGAATACCCTTTAAGAACATGTTTAACCGTTTGTTCCTTGTGCTATTCAGTTTCTTCAATATAATTTCATTTTTCATCGTCTGCCTTAGATTATATCTTTCGTAATTCTGAGCCAACTACAGATTAAGAATCATGGTATTCCCTATTTTCTTTATTTCATGTTCGTACCTAGTGTAACCTAGTGTAAATACTTTTAATTAAAACAAGTCTAATAAATTGTATTATTTACAGGGCTTTAATATCTTATTCTTCTCCTGTGGCGTTGTCACCTGGGGCTCCGCCGCGTCCGTCTACGGCGGCTATTCAGCTGCTCTTTGTGGCGCTTTAATCTTTGCTGTCTCTTTTCTGGGCATTTATGTGGCGCTGAAAGAGTCGTATAGGTTTTCCAACTATGTAAGTTAGCTATCATGTAATTAGCAACCTTAATTGGCCTTAACTTATATGATATATATATTGTTGTTCTAGTATATTTTGGTTACCATTTTTACTATCGTTGTGCTGACCACGTATTTCTTCATCTTCTCGAGCATGAAGAGCCAGCTGCTGCTGAACTTTGATGAGCGCATCAAGCGACTCTTTGGAGAGAAATCCACGCATAATGATACAATGCAGCCCATACACAGCCTGTTCCGCTGCTGCGGTCTAGATGGACCACAGGACTATCTGGGCAAAGAGGACGGCGGCGCATTGCCGGCCAGCTGCTGCCATGGCTTCGATTGCACCGTTACCTCGCACATGTTTGAGGAGGGCTGTGTGATCAAAGCCGCCCAAAGCCTGCAATTCCAGGCTGAGCTCAATTATTATGCAGCCATTGTGATCTTGGCATTGGAGGTGATTGAATTATATAGAAAAATATATGTATGAATATTAATGAAAATTTTTCAATTACAGTTTTTAAGTCTTCTCTTTGCCTATTTCATGGGCAAGGCCCGTAAGCTAATGAAAATCAAGGACGACGAGGCACCCATTAATGAGGATTAAACATATGATTTGGCCTGCTTTTAGTGAAATTTAACTAGTTGTAATACGAGCGATCTATGGCTATGCCAAAATTAATTAATTAAATAAATAATATTATTAGCAAAAATCCCATTTTGAATTCTGTATATCGAGAAGAAGATGATGATTATAATAATTATGATGATTATGATGATTATGATGAGTAAAAGTTTTCCTCTGGCACTCTGACAATAGTAATAGCAAAAGCTTATTATTTGTATTATTTATATTAAACATATGTTATAATCATTACCGTAATGATTACTGACATAATTCCTATTTGTATCATTATCTTAGGAATCATTAAAATAGTAAACTTTATAATGAAAACTATTTACGCGTTAAGGTATATCATATTTTAAACATTAATAACAAGAAAACCAAAATTATAATGATAATTATTTAAAATATTATTTACATGCCAAACAATATCGTAATGATTGTTCCTTTAATAATTATTTGCAAGGGAGGCAGAATAAAAATGATCATTTATGATTATATAAACAATAAGCATCATAATTATTATTATTAATTATTGTATATTATATATATATATTATGATCATTCTCATTAAAACATTATCATTATCCTCAATTAACATAGATTGTTTAAAATTATAAAATTATCGTAATGATCATTACAAACATCTAATTATTATTATCATCATCTTAATAACTATTCTTATTATTTAACAATTTAATGCTTACTGCTCTACTTAATATTATTAAATATTTACCAAATAAACAAATGACGACTGCACCGCACTGCGCTACACTGCAACCGACCCCCAGGAGGTTAGAAAGACGACTGAGGAATCGCTGCAACAGGCTCGCCTTATATAGGGGACAGAGGCTCGCTCGAACTCGACTCTCGACCTTTTTAATAGAGCTAAAGAGAGCTGATACTTATACCGACTGACGCCGTATCATCTCAGCTACCCAATCTGATCTCGATTTTACATATCTACATATATAGTATATATATTTAAGTGGCCATATTGCAGATTTGATAAATTATAATACATTTTTATTGTTTTCTTATATTGTATACAAATCCGAAATTCCAGTAGCTCGGCAACACTGTTTCAATAAGCGAAGATCCAAATATAATTTTGCTTTTGTTTCTTTGGCCATCAGTCAGGCAGTCGATGCCGTTACGATCGGTTGTGTCTATATTGTATGATAGCTTTAGCAAACGCTACGAATTTCGGTAGTCAAAATGGGCTGTACTTCCGGCTGTTTTAAGTGTTTCTTAAACATACTCAACACGGTGTATGCGGTAAGTTTTGCGAAGCTAAGGAGTAACATGAAATTACCAATCGAGAGATAAATATTTGAGTGTGGATATATACCTATATACATATATATACATATATCAAGAGTATTGCACTGTGTGTTCGACTATACATTAGAATTGTCAATTTATAGCCGGTTTTTTGCCAAACAATATACAGAATAGATGGAAGCAGGTGTCTGTGTGTGTTCGCTTGTATATACATATATACATATGTATATATGTAGATACATGCTTGCATATATACATAAATACTTAAGCATCAGTCATAGACTATATACAAATCGTATTATTCCAGACTCTGACGTATATTTGTTTAAGCACTTGCTAGGAATATAAAAATCTTTGTAATGAACTGTATAAGGAAGTGCATATGTATGTAAAGATATAGTAATACATAAATAAATTTGATGAGCACTATCAGCCTAGCCTGTTAGTCGTATTTGTCTGTTGTTGCGATTCCCATTTTGGTTTTGTAATAAAATACAATGTCTTGGCAATTTTGAGCATATATTATTTGCCAGAAATTGGCTGATAATTCAAAATAATATGTACATATATACATTTGTATGCAAATGCAAATGCATACTTATATTCCAGATCTTTCTTTTATTATCTTTGTACATACATCGGAGCTGATGTCTAAGAAAATTTGAAACTAGATTGACTAGATACAGATGACATATCATATAGCCTCCAAAAGAAAAGATGAAAAAAAAAAAGAAAGTGACAATTTATAGAAATTTAATAAATAATTAAAATATATTTATGTATATTATATATTTGAATATATATATTCATAATGAGCTTGTCTTTTGACTGCACAGTTCTTTGGCCTGTTGATAATTGGAATAGCCACGATGAGTCTCAGCCAGGCACCGACTGCATATATTATCTATTTGTATGTGATTGGTGTGGTGCTGTTCGCTTCGTCTATTATCGGCTGTTGTGGCATCTGTCAGGAGAGTGTTTGCATGACCACAACGGTGAGTGAACTTGATAAACAAAAAAAAACCAACAGCCAATTGATTCTATGTAAAATGTTTGAATGCCGCAGTATGGTTTCATCTTGTTGACATTGCTGATTGTGCAATTGTTTGGCTTGTTCGGCAACAGCTTCGATGAGGAGTACATCAAGCGCTTTGCGGTCGAAGATGTTGACGTGAAATGGAAACAAGAGATGGTTGAGCGTGGTGCCATGGACAAAATACAGCGGACGGTGGGTTGCATAGCGACTGAATGAATGAGCCAATAAATGAATAATTATTTGCATAATTTACATCTAAAGTACGAATGCTGTGGCCGCAACGGACCCGAGGATTATGTAAGCATTGGTCGCACCACACTACCAGACAGCTGCTATCCCGATGGCAAAACCAATATACCCTACTTCACGACGGGCTGTGTCAATGCAGCTGCCGATGAGTTCCTTCGCTTCTTTAGCTATGCTAACAACAGCAAATGGGGCTCGTTTGCAATTACGGTAAATTGATCTCCTTATCTTCATGGATATATTATCAATATTAATTTGCTTGTTATCTTCCGCAGGCTTTACTCTGCTTCTGTACATTTTATCTGGTGCAACGCTTCCGCAAGGAACGACGGCGATATACCTATCACTACTAAAGAAACATCAAATATTTCGAATTGAATTTTTTCGCGATTTGTCAATACTATTTTCAGCCAATTACCAATAAATTGTGTAAGCTCTCAAAGCCCGGTAGTTTGTGTAATTGTTGATTATCGTTTGTTCTTGAGCCGAGCATAGAGCTCCGTGCTCTGGCGTCATTCATCTCAATTGCACTCATGCTCCACTCATGACGCAATGTGTTCGATAATCGCATTAGTTTCCGAGAGTTGCCGATCGTCGCTCTCTCTCTTTCACACTCTCTCGATTTCTCACTGGCTCTCTTTCGCATTTTCCTCTCTTGACATCTGGCTACTATTTACCATAGACCCAATTGTGGAGTGCACCACTTTGGAGCTTCGTTCGGCTCTTCGGCTGGGTCAGACCGCCCGGCTGTCTGTTTGTTTACTTGTTTATTTGTTTGTTTGGCTTCCGACATCGCTGAGGCTTTGGTATACAAACACACACGAACGCGCGCACACACACACACACACACATGCACACACTCTCATAAATTGACTTTTGATTTTGGCTTTTTTTGCTTTTGCTTTTCGTGTTTGTTTACTGTGTTTTTGTTTCCACTGTGGTGCTCAGTGGTGCTCAGCGGTGCTCTGTGCTCGGCATCAGCACCAGCGCCAACGCCAGCGCCAGCACTAGCACCAGCCTCGGCCTCAGTTTCAGTTTCAGTTTCTGAGTTTTTGAGTTTTAGTTCGCTCGTGACCGTCTACGCTCGCAGTTCTCAACATTCTGCTTGGGAGTGAAAAATTCAAATAAATATTGCCCAGCTTTAGTCTAGGCCAACTGTTGCACGTGCCGCTAATCAGCTCAGATTTGTTTACAATAATTGCTTTGAATTTTCCGTAACACATTGTCGATTATTTGCAACCATGGGCTGCGCTACGGGCACCATAAAATACTCATTGTTTCTCTTCAACGCCTTATGGGCGGTAAGTTGTGTACATTTTTGAAAAGTTTTCGAAGCGAAACATGTGGCGCGTATTCAGAATTAGAGGCTAGGCAAATGCATGCCATATATTGGCAAATATGTTTCGCAAAGGAAAAAACCTTTTGTGGCTTTACCTAAAGGCTAGATGATATCATCTTGTATATGCGTGCTAGTTCACAGACTATTATTATTGTTGGTCTAAAAGAGACACATACATGCATGATTTCTAGCGCTCAGCCGAGCGTCGATGTGTATGCGTGTGTGCGAGTGAGTTGTGTCTATTGTCTGTGGCTCTTTTTTTGCATTCCTTGAGCCGCTTCGGAAAGCTTCTTTGTTAACAAGCACTCAGCGACAACGACGACGTCATGCCTTCAGATTTAGTATAATAATTAAAAAGACATACAAAATAGAAACCGGATTAGAAAACGAAGCAAAAGAAGCACCGACATCAACACCTGGCGATGAAAGCGGCCAACGATTTTTGTTTAGCCTCTCAAATGCGACCAATTTGTCGTTGTACAAAATATGCTCTCATATTTAATGACATCAGCTTAAATACTTTATTATCTCATGCACACGATGATGTAAAGCCTGAATCTCAATAATAATTAGTGTTGTATACAAACTTAAAGCTTTGAACTGGGGGGCGTTTAACTATGCGCCAATGAGTCACTTATGATTCACTTAGCTTTTATCTTTCATAATTATTTTGTTACTATATTTTCCTTTTCAATTATGTTTCCCATTACCAGATACTTGGCATATTGGTCATAGTATTTGGCTGCCTGGGCTGGGGTGCCATGCCACAGCAATATGCCATCGGCATAATTGTGCTCGGCGGCATTATCTTGCTGATATCAATGTTTGGCTGCTTTGGGGCCATCAGGGAATCGTCGCGCATGCTCTGGACCGTAAGTGCTCAATAGATATACATGTGACATATAATAGATATTTATATTAATATATTTTCGCTTTATTTCCCACCAGTATGTTTCTCTGCTGCTAGTGCTGCTCGTGCTGATAGGCGTCTTCATCTTCTTCAATACGCGCGATGTATTCAAAAAGTATGCCATTAAGACGGTTGAGGATCATTGGCAGCAGGAGTTGACTAGGCCGGGGAGCATGGATCTGATACAAAAGACCGTAAGTGCTTGATTTTGTTGCTAGTGCTTGACAATTTATGTGCCGAATTCATTTCTCGCAGTACTCGTGCTGTGGACGCTATGGAGCTGCTGATTATATTCCCATCGGTCGTAGAAATAATACAGTGCCGTCTAGTTGTTGCAAGTTCAACAATTGCCTGAATCCATTGAACGTCTATCCAGATGGCTGTCTGGCCAAAGTGGAGCTCGCCTTCGCCGATGAGGCGAGCACAACGCGATACTGTGAATGGGGCCTGCTGGGCTTCGATGTAAGTGCTTCAGCCGCCCCTCCCCCCCTCTTTGTGCGCGTTGAGTATAATAATTTCGTCTTCTTTCAGCTGGTTATACTCGGATTGGCCATCATTCTTGCCATACACTATTCGAATCGCAGACGCCGCTATAACTACTAATCGTATCTGATTAGCTATAGTAGTCAATCGAATCGTACTCGTAGTACCTCAAGTATAAGCGTCACCAATGTACCTTCTTCATCAGCTTTGCGCCATGTGTTCACTTGCCAAGCAACCCAATGAATAAAATATTAACTAAACTCGAATAAACAAATTCACTTGATTTCATTTTCAACATATCAAGCAACGTCCAAGCGCTTCCAATCAATTAGGCAAACCAATCGAAACGTGGGGGTAAAAAGCCAAAGAGAGAAAAAAAAAACCAAAAATAATCAAATAAAAGAAAATCATGAAGCTCTCCAATGCCGACACGCTTGATGGAGTTTTCATGCCAAGTAGCGGGAAAACAGCTGGCATGGCTTTATTCCCAAATGACAGTAAATACGACAAATGAGTTAGAAAGGGAGAGCGTTGGGGAAGGGGAGAGAGTGAGGGAATGACGTTTTGTGACTTATTGAATCATGATATCTGTTTGGAGCAAATGAGCGGAGGTTTCTAATCAGATTTGCGGTCATATTGACATACCTACGAGTATATACTTATAAACATGTACAGATGCATGTATACATGTGTAAATGTATATACATACATTCATTTCTAAATACTCATATACATATGTACATATCCACATATCTATACATCATTCGCCTTTGAACATTAGCCACTTGTAATAATTCATATAATATATAAGAGCTTTACTTAAACATTTCTTATTGTTTTCATTATTACTTATCAACAACTGGACATCTAGCAAGAGGTAATTGACTTGAGTATAGCTTTCTCTCTCACTCGTCTAGTTCCTCTCGTTTCCTTCTGGATAACTTTTTCCGCCCGCTCTACACTACTCTGTACTCTGTGTATAACTACCTCCGACTATTTTACTTTGCTAGATTTTACCATCTGGATAAATACCCTGGAATAATCACCTCTGCTCTACTCCCACCGGATAACAACTCTTGAGTACTCGACTCTATCTGACTCGCTCTGCCGACTATTCCACCTAGTATGCTCAATCTGGATAACTAATTCCGATGCCAGTACTCTACTCCATCTGGATAACTACCTCCAACTATTCTACTCCCTCTGGATAATGGTAGAGCTCTTTAGCTTACGAAGCTCTACTTAAGTAGAATGCCCAAAAGAATGCTGCATGAAACGAAGCAAAACGGGTTGCTCTATACGTATATATTGTTATACTTGATAAACTGATTGAATGAGTGCTTGAGAGTGACGTCACAGCAATCAGTGCTCATCTGCGCGAGCGCATTGACGCTCTCTCTTCACATTCATGCGGGCCTGCTGCTGCTGCGCATGTGTGTGTGTGTGTGAGTGTGTGGGTGTGCAAAGCATTTTAAATGTGGAAAATAACGAACATTTTTATTCGTGTTCAGTTTGCAAGCAAACGCTGAACGCGACAGACGGATTTCAAACAAAATATATACTAAACAAAACAAAAAGAGGAGAATTTATTTTGCTGTTTCGAAAATAAACAAGCGCGCTTTGTTGATTTCGAAGTCAAGAGGTTAAGAAAGTTTGTGTGCTGTGATATGTGAAACAATGAGAACAATTTCATATGCTAATGGGCGCTGGGCTAATTAAGTGCAATCAGCAATTGGAATAAACACAAAGAGAAATCACAAAATCAGAAATCATTTTTAATTTTTATGTTTTCCTAAAGTTCATATTGTGCATTAAAAATATACTCTTTATGCTCTAAAATATTCTAGAATAATAATAGTGTTGCGTTATTTTAACGATATTTTATTTTTAATTTTCAGCCTGTCAAACTTAAATCTTTAAAAATGGGCTGTGCCACGACCAGCGTAAAGATTACCTCAATCGTGCTGAATGCCATTTTGGCGGTAAGATTTTATTTTATTTCATTTTATATTTTTAAACATATGTATATATAACTGAGAAAATTATGCAAATATACGGATACAGACACAGACGCATCTGTATGAAACGTAATTTATGTACACCTCAATGACATTTATTAGTTCACTGCATTCGATGCATTCGAATTTGAATCAGAAAAGGAAATAAGCCACTTGCAGGCATGATGTCATGTGCAGGCAGAACGAAAGCGAAATGAAATCAGTTTTGGTCAAACATTTGTTAGAATATATACACATATTGTAGCACTACATATATCTATTATTTACTCAGAGCAGCAGTTCTGCAAGATGCTCGCCTGCACGAAAATTCCCGTGCACATGGCCTCAATGCTGTCGCTGAGCCACTTATATCTGGCCGTGTTGTATTTTTAATACATATTTTGTCATTTGTCAGTTTCACACACTTTAGCCACGTCGTCGACAGGTCTTTGGCCAACACACACACACACACACACAGCGCCTCCTTCCTGCTGCCTAGCCAACCCCTTGTTGTTACCATGGCTAGTACTGTTTACACTTGCAGCTTTTGTTTTGTTTTGAAGTCGAGGATTGTGTGCTGGCGGAAAATGTATGTAGACGCCTGTTTGCCACAATTGCACCACAATTTCTTACTGGCTGGTGCTGGATGATGTCATGGCCCACTACTTATTTGTAGTTTGACCTATTTACAGCGTTATCCGAATCCAGGCTGGCTCAGTTCTCAACCCCCCCAATTGGATTACGGGGTGTGTTTCGCACAAACAACAACAACAACAACAACAACAGCCCTCAAATGATATTGATAGAAAAGTAAAAGGGAGCAGCAACTGTCGATGATTAGATACTCGATTGAAATTTTAAATAAGTGTATTCTTAGTCAAGAAATATTGCTTACATATACCCACTTGATATTGTGTATATGATATACATGTATTCACTATAAATTAATCAAGCCACCAATTACTACAGAGCACAAAATAAAGCAGTAGCTGCAGAAGATGAAATACCCTTTAGCAATTATTTATTTAAGGGGCAGCCAAGTTCACCAAATTAGTCAAGAGAAATATTTATGATTTACCGAACGTTCTATTCATATATTTGAATATACCCAAGTGCATTTTATTTGAATGTTTATTGCAATTATATGCACTTTCTGCTTGGCTATATGAACTTTCAGCTATCTACCTTAATGTCTATCGTAACAATATTTTAATATCCTCTCTCAAATAGGGTATACAAATCACTCGAGTGTCGCGCTTTGCGGTTCTATGTTACACATATATGGCATCTCTATCTCTATATATATAATTTAGAAAAACCACAATTAAAGTGCTGCAGCGTTTCGATTTCGATTCATTTCGTATGCACTTGGACCTTGTCATCATAATATATATGTGTATATACAATATATACATTTATCTCATATATTGTATATTATCATGCAAATGACTCGTGAGAATTTCCAGTTAAATTTCCGTTTGTCTTACAGTTCCTGGCAGTGGGCGCTATTGGCTGGATCGCGGTTCATGCAGATACGGAGAGCGAGGAATTCGTTATCGCCGCCTACGTGGCCTGTGCGATTATTTTGCTGTTCGCCTTTCTGGGCATATTTGCGGCAGTACGCGAATCGGTTTGCTTGACCGCAACGGTAGGTTATTGAACCGGCTAATTAGCAGGAGAGAGAGGGAGAGAGTGAGGAAGAGTGAGTAACTTGCTTTGTTCGTTTTCAGAGCGCCGTCTTCTTGCTGCTGCTGGCCATACCGCAAATTGTGAGCACCATAATGTTTGTGCATCAGTTCGAGGTGAAGAGCGCCCAGACCACAGTGGAGCTGGCCTGGCAGGCCAACAACATGGACGGACTGCAGCAGAAGTACGAGTGCTGCGGCAAGAGCAGCGCCCAAGACTATGTCCATCTGCGCCAATTGATACCGCCCAGCTGCTATATCGACCTGGATCAGAAGCCGGAGCATCTCTATGTCGAGGGCTGCATCGAGAAGCTGCAGAGTCGCTACGAAAACGACAAGCTACGCTTCATTATTGTCTCCTGGGTGCTCGTGGCCTTTGAGGTAACTATCGATCCCGATTTCCAATATAAATTTCTAATTGAATTTTCTAATGACTGTGTGAACTGTTTGTCCATGCCCCATCTGCAGTTGCTGTGCTTTGTTATAGCCGTTTTCCTGGCCATCAGTTTCCGCAACAAGCAGCGCCGCTTGCAATTTTAATGGCCAACTGTAGCCGAATGACTAGTACAAAAACGGGGCTAAACTCCAGCCACGCCCACTGGGCCAAAGGATAATTAAGTATTTGATTTGTGCTCTGGCTATTCGAGCATAAATATTTACCAAAAATATAATAATAATAATAATAATTATATATGCCTAAAATTCATAAGCTTAAAATTTTACTACAACTGCTGCAACCTAAGCTAAGTAATTAAATCAATTTTATTTATTTATAATTTAATTTAATTATTGAAAAACAAAGCAAATAAAACTATATATGTATGTGTTCTACAAAGATCGAGTATTTCTATGGAATGATATAAAAAGTAATTGGGTTTGTAATAAATTATTTCAATCTGGCGAATATCACTAATTAAAATGGCATCAAGTTTCATTAACATTTTTCCACACATTTTCTTTTATTGCTCGTTTTTTTTTTTTTTTATTCCATTCCCATTCTCCAGTGAAATTCCTATGCGCAAAAAGCCTAGAGGTTTGTTATGAATGGTAAAAATAGAGCGACGTCACATTTTCATGGCCAAAATGAAGCAAGAAATACGATAGAAAATATGCGCTGGCAGAGGCAGACAACTTGTTGCTCATCCGCATGCCTCAAACCATATGTAAAACTATATATTTGTATATGAGCATTTAAATATATATATATACTATATATACATATATAACTGTACGCATTTGTCGTATTTATGTTTTGGTTTCTGCTTTTTGGCATGCGCCTTGGCCAAAAGCGAGGGCTGGCTAATTGATAAACAAGGCATGTGACTCAGGGAATGCCAAAATGATTGAACTTTCTGTCAATTAAAAAATAACTATGGATAGTTTGCATTTTTTTCCACTCAAATATATGCAGAGAAATGCTGAATGGAATAGGCTGAAATTTATAATTTTTTTAAATATTTAATTATTTTTATGGAAATACCCTAGTAATTATCATTGCGGTAGGAAAGATTTACAGCTTTAGTTTTTCTTTTTGCTCGACCGATATACTAGTTTACGACTCACACGATAGAAAGCTGAATCAAAGCCCGGGTCTATAGTGGCAACTACATAGCAGATGATGGCCAGGGCCAAAGCCATTGACAGGGAGAACCACAAAACAATGTTGAATATGATCGGAAAATCGCGAGGTGGAAGCTTTTTAAATGGATTTGTATTATTGCCCGACTTCGTAATACGTCCGGATAGGTCTGTGATCATCTCCCTATCTGTAGTCTGCACAAAGAGCAGCGATTTGGTAGTGAGCCTGGCCGCACTCAATAGACGAAAAATAGCTTGATTGATGATATTTTTGGCCTCTAGGAGCAGACTGTATTTGCTGATCTTGACAATGCTCTGCAATGAGATGCGTATGACGATCACCTGCGATGGCTGCAACAGGTGAGTCAAGTTCTCACTGATGGCCTCCATATAGCCAATCTCCTGAAGGAACTGACGATGCGTCTCATACTCCGCAGGCCTGAAGTGCTGTATGGACTTTGCTATGGGCACAGTGTCATTGCCAAAGTAATGAATATACTTGGCTACACCGAGAGTATGGTTAGTGAAATTTACATCATATACGCTCCTTGGATCAAGTTCGCCAATGAAATTGTCAATGGAGTTCAGAGAATCCGAATACAATAGATCATAAGCCTTCAAGGTTTCCAATGGCTCCAGCATATAAATACCTTGGATATGCACCAGTATTATTGATGTGGAGTCCAAGTCAAAGGGATTCGCAATGGCCAAACCGCTCCAATGACTGCTGCCACTCGCAGTATGCCCTTGAGTGGCCAGCAGCACTTCGCTCAAGTAAAAGCTATCGAGTTGATCCCCGCCAATCCATTTCACTGATGGAGGAGTGTGCAAGACTCTGAGCTCACCATCCGCTCGTATGCGAGCAGTGAACAGGAAAAGAGTTAGAAAAGTAAATAACATTTTTAGTATTTTAATTATAAGTTTTCCCATTTGAAAAAGTTTAGATAGAGACTGCTTGGCCTTTGACTGACACAAGTGAAAGCCTACTACTCTGTTTACTTCAATATTATGGATGTCCTTTGCCTTATCAACGTATCGCATAGCTTTTGTGCTGCGCAATTTATCAATGAATGTTTATGTATATATGTGCATATATGTGTATTATATATATGTATTATATATATAGGACAAAAGCTCCTTTTCAGTGGGCGAAAGCTTTTGTCGGCATCGTCGTGACATCATACCACCCACAAATGTTATGACCGACCGCCGAGACACACACATACACAAGCACATTAGTGGCACAACAAGTAATATGGTTACAGATTAAGTGTATTTGGCTAAGAGATACTCTACGTTAAACATGAATAGATAAGTAAAGCTATAAAGCAAAATATCTAAAATTCAAATGAAATTATTAAAATATTCCTCATTATTATTATTATTTTTTTTTTTTATTATATGAAAATTAAATATAATTCAAATTTAACAAACGCATTAACCTTTTATATTATTTTTTTTTAAATTTAATTTTTTTTGTATACAGATTTGAGTTAATAAAAAATGATTGCGAAAAAAAAAAACAAATTACAGGGTATTGCAAGCACAACACAATGCGAGGTAGCACTTGAACGTTGATTTCTTGGTAGAAGCCACCAATAGCAAAAAAGCTAGCTGAATGTCAGACCGTCGTTTCGCCTTATTGTCTGGGCTGGTGGCCTTTTTTCGTTTTTGGAGGGGGCGCCACAATTTCAAAAATTAAATGCGCGTCGCTTAGTCGCAATTCAACCTGTATGGCTAAAGGGCTGGAGCTGGAGCGTGTTTATTATTTGTATTAGAAGCAGAAGCAGAAGCAGAAGCAGAAGCTCTGAAGGAAATTGAACGCACTATCGATTGATTTTCGTTTTGTGAACATGGCCAGTCGCGAGGGTTGTCTGAAGGTCCTGCTCATTGTTTTAAATGTGCTATTAACGGTGCGTATACGTAATATTTATATGCTCTGTGTCCGCATTAACTGGCCAGTTAATTTTCAGCTAGTTGGCATCGCCTTCATTGCGTTCTCCGTTTATGAGCTGAACAACGTTTCGGCGGGCACATTTCAGCACGTCGCGATTGTGGTGCAAATCTTTGTGGGCACGTTTGTGGTGCTGAGCTCGTTTCTGGGTTGTTTCGCTGGCGCACGGCTCTCCCTGAGCCTCATTTGGAGTGTGAGTGGCGAGCACTGGCTATCGAATATCACCTAATCATACTTTCTTCTGGCAGTTCGTCAGCTGCATGCTGATATTGATTGGCTTGCAGGTCTATATAATTGTCGCAGCGCACGTCACGGACTACGTGGAACGATCCCGCACAGATTTTCAGGCTCTATGGGCGGATCAGCGTCGCAGCAAGGAGCGCATTGCCTTTATCGAGCAGAAGGTGAGCTGCACTAGAGAAGTTCGGGTAATCAATTCTTTATCCTTTCCTTTGACAGTACACATGTTGCGGCCAGAGCGGGCCACAGGACTACATCCTGCAAGGTGTTGGCTTTCCGCTCAGCTGTTACGAGAACAAGGAGAGATTGCAGAGTAAGCTCCGTGGTAATGGCTGCTTGGACGCTGTGCAATCACATGCCACTGATAATCTCATCTACGGGCTGATCAGCAAATGGCTGCTCTTCGTGCTAGAGGCAAGTTGACCTTAACATCAATTCGGTTGAATAATTTATGGCCAGCTTAGAAGGGTTAAGAATAGATTTTATAAAAAATATAAATATTTTGTATATGCAAAAATTTATTACTCTTAGCAAGAGTATGTTGGCTAGAGAATATGTCAAGTAGATCATTAAGCATGGTTGGGGAAAGTATTCTATATTCTATTTTATCATAGACATTTTTATATGATATATGTATATTAGGATGCTCTGCTCCTCCTCCGGCAGACTCTCATTTTCATTTCATTTTCTTGACTCTTTAAATTTGTTAGTGTATTGAATATTCTCCACATGCAAGTGAAGGCCTCTCGCTCGAATCTTAAATCATTTTACCTTCTGTCTTCCATCTTTCTTTTCCAGCTTGGCGCTTTGGGCGCAGCCACCCACTTGGGCATCACCGTGCGCAATAAACAGCGACGCGAACGTTTTTGAAAAGGTTTCCCAATTGGCCATTAGCTCATAGTGCAGTTGAAAACTTAAACGTAGCATCCTTAAGTGTTGGCATTTTACAATATACAAATATCGTGCGAAACGAAATGAAACGAAACTCAATTGATACGATACAATTAAATGGTCTATAAATTTGTATATTGTGTTTTCTTTTCTTTGCTATCTCGAATAGTTGTTGTTGTTGTTGTTGTGCTGTATATTCCAAAAACTACTTATAGATAGAGATAGCATAGCTGAGTAGATGCGTCCAAGTAGACAGATATATAGCCTGCCTATAAAGACGCATATAAAAATACATGGGAAACTTGCGAACGTCTCTCGGCGGGACTTGGGCGGGACAGCTGCTGGGGATGTGTCTCTTGAGTAACGACCAAAATGAAAAAGAAAAAAAAAAAAAATTAAAGCAAAAAAAGAAAAACCGACCGTACGGTCGACCACTCAACGCTTTTGTAAACATTTCGCATTTCTTCTTCCAACTGAACGAGTTGAGTTCTCGTGGCAGCCGAAAAGGCCTTAACAGAAGCGCGCGCGTCTTCGTGCGGATTGGAGATTCAACATACAGCGGGACGACGGCCTTAAAACAATTATTTGAAAACATATAGAAAAGTACCGAGAAATAAATAAAGAGAGAGCATATTTTAGCATATATTTCAAAAAGAATTTTAGTTACCGTTGCCAGCAATGCCCACGCTGCAGGTGTGTCTGCAATGGACGGCCGTGGTGTTCAATACATTTACTTTGGTGAGTCCTCTGATTTTCCTTAAATTAATACGTTTTTAGCAATTATTCTCCACATATTAATGGAAACATATGTATGTGTAGGACTGATAGCTAGGCTGACATATGTAGGCTCATTAGCATCCATACAAATTGTTCTCAAGTTTTACCATTAACAAGTAGTTTGCCGCTTGACGCACACTGCGTATGAGTAATACGCTCGTTAGGCGACACAGTGCGTATGAAGCTGGACAGCTATATATAGAAGCTATATATAATTAAGCTCATTTAGTTAACAATCACTTTACTTTTAATTATTGCTTATACAAGTATATATGCATATATTTAGCCTTTATATACAGCCAATTTGGCAGCAAACAAATCTCCTGCTTCCATTGCGCCCAGACAAGTTGTCACTTTACTTATTTTTAATTATTGCTACATTTTTCGCACTTGGTATATCTGTGTGCGAGAGCTGATGAGTGCGTATGTGTGTGTGTGTGACTGTGTCTCGCTGGGCATTTAAAAATAAAGCCCCCAGTAATTCCATGCGTTAAAATTTGCTTTCATTTTGGCCTGACAAAAAGACAGCCAACATTTTCATTGTATTTGCTCATTAATTTTTTGGCTTGCTTTTGATTTTTGTATTTGTGTTTTTTTCTTTTATTATTATTTTATGATGCGTTATTAATTCACATGATTTTTATTTTGATCGTTAATTTCCTCTCTTGTGTTCTTAGATAATTGGCAGCCTGGCCGCCTTAGCCGGCGTCTACGAACTGCTCTACAAGCTGGAAGAGGGCTCTGCCACGCACATTGACTTCGAGAAGATCAGGCAGCTGACCCTGGCTGGTACCCTCATCCTGGCTGCAGTGATCGGCTGCTCGGGCGCTTTTCTCGGCTCCATCAAGGTGCTGGTGGTGGTGCGTACATGTGATAGATGAATTTCAAGTGAACGGAATTAATATATTTATTGTACTCAGCACTTGGTTTTGTTGGTGTGCTTGATTGGCGCACACATTTATCAACTGATGCACTACAACGAGGCCAGACACGTGAACACCACGGAGGAGTTTGTCATGGGCATTTGGCTGAAGGAGCTGTCGCATTCCGGTGCTATGCATCAGCTGGAGCAGAGGGTAAGAAGCATGCGCATATCAAGAAGTTTGAGAATTCTAATAATTGTGTTCCTCCAGTATGAATGCTGCGGCAACAAGGGCTTCTCCGATTATACGAGCACCATGCGTGCGCCTCAGAGCTGTTTCCATACCGTCGACGGGGTGCATGCGCTCTATCCCTATACAGAGGGTTGCATGTCAGCCGTGAAGCGTGCTCATCTCTCAATCTATCGCTTTGAGAAGTGGGTGCACAGTGGACTCATTGGCTATGAGGTGAGCTTTGCATAGTATAAATTGAAGCTAATTCTCTCTAATATGTATTTCTCTCTTGCAGATTATCGGCATTATTTTGGGCATTACGCTGTGTTGTCAGCTAACCAACAAACCGCGTCGCTACACCTACTAGAACTTTTGAATTTTTTTTATAATACAATAAACGACTTATTTGATATGATGTCGAAGCTCAAGCATTGTCCAGCAGCTGGGTACGGGAGCCCACATGATTGGCGCGCGGCTCGCGGCGCACACCTGGCGGCACCTGCTGTCGTGCCAGTCGCTCGCGCTGTCTCAGCTTATAAAGCAGCCCGCTCAACACAATCGTCTGCACCAGTATGAAAATCTGTGGGTATTCAAGTAATCTGTTATTGTCATGAAGGTCAGTGAACTGGTCGCTGCGACTGGGCTTTACCTCAAGGCCAACGATGCACCACATGAAGAGCTTATCGCGCTGCTCGATGCGGCTGCGGCCATGCTTCAATGTCGCTTGACAGCCGTGTGTAAAGAGCAGCTCATCGCTGCCAGGCTGATAACAACTTTTGGGTATGGGCAAATGCATAGCCTTGTAGTCGCTGGCATTATTGTAGCCGCAGCAATGATGCTGCTGCTCATACTGCTGCATAAGCCCCGGTTGCTTCTCCAACTCGTGCCAGACCGTTGTCAGCTCCAGCTGCTGCGCGGTGTTTTTATAGCGACTGTGCGGCTGATAGTTGTGCAGCTGCAAATACTCCAGTCCGAGCACGATCAAAATGAAGCCGGTAAACTGAAAGGTGAGCCAGATTAGCATATATTATTCCGGTCTAGGCATAAATCATTCCAACTCACAATTATGTTCACACTAAGCAAATCACTGACCAGGCCATAGCAGCCAAACATAATTATGGTGCAGATCGTAGCCCCGAGCACCAGGCTCTCCACAAAGTACGTGTGCTCCGGCGTGTTTGGTTGCGCCATCTGCAGACCCAATCCACCGGCAGCCATTACGCCAATGGCCAGCAGCTAAAAGAGAATAATTAATTAATAATTTATAGCCAACAGATGCAAAGTGCAAGCTTACCATATACAGCAAATTGGACAAGAGTCCAGTGTACTTAATTGTGGTGTAGCAGCAGATCATCTTGCGAACGTCGAATGCGAGTGCGACTGCGGCAATCTGCAGCAGTTGCTTTCATTTTAAAGCAGATGCAGAGGGCTCTTAATCTATGTTGACTATATACATATACCGTTATAATATAAAAGGTGAAGATAGCACACAGCGACAACTTCTACGTTATTTTTCGCTTTTATTTAAGTGTTATATAAAATGTAAAGTATTTGTTACTATTTTTTGTTTGTTTGTTTTTGTTTTGTCTAGTGTCGCCTTAAAATTTCCTAAAAATTTGCACTTAATAAATATGACATAGAATTGCATAGAGTACCAATAAAGTTGGAGAAAAGCTCCCAGGCAAACACTCAAAACAATTCAAGTGGGCGTGTCCCGGTGTACAAATACACGAACAGGTGATTGTGTTCGTCTGTGTGAGTGTGTGTCGGGGCGGGTCGTTAAACAATTTCAATAAATATCACATTGTGTTAGATCGCTGGCAGGGGATTAATTTCGTTTGAATATACAAATAAATGCAGCTTCACATGCGCCACGGCAGCGGTATGAGTCCCCATTTCTGTGTTATATCCTTGAAGTTACACTCCATGCTGAGCACCACCTTCTCCACCTTCTGTGTGCGCGTGTTCGTCGCCGATTTGAGCGTAAGGCATAGATTCGTCTCACGATGCGAAATTTGTTGGGTCTGTAAAGGGAGGGAGAGTGAACACAGATTAGATTGTAATTAATTGAGAATCTGTCCGCCTGATTACTCACATCCATGTCATAGGTCCAATGTTGACTTGGATCGCCAATGCACTGCGTCAGCATCACATTGGAGCTCGTTGCATTCCGATTTTTCAACAGCTTGAATGCTCCGTTTTTGGGCGGGCGATAAGTGAGGCAAACATTATCATTTGTCATTATCTGACCCTTGGGCGTTATGACGAACATGTCCATTGTTTGTGCGTGCGATGAGCAATCGCCCACCGTCACCGGCTGCAGCGAGGTGCGCGGTGCATCGTCATGCAGGGGACGCAGGCACTTGTCGCGCTCCAAGTCAATCAGCGACATAAATTCCTCGGCCTTGCTCTCGATCTCCTCAAAGGCGCGCTTCCATTCGCGCGACAGCGCTCTTCCCGGCAAGTTCTTCATGTGATTACTGTACGCCTGAGCGCACTCTGTCTCGCCATCCAGCCATATAATCTTGCCAAAGAAACGATCCGGCGCGGGAAAGAAGTGCTCTGGCCATATGTTCTCGAGGTACCAGGAAAACGGCTTGCAGTGCAGTTTTTCGCGTAATGCCAAGCGCTCCGTAACATTCACCTTGTCCTTGGCGCTCAACGAGAGGCCGGCCGTATAGAGCATGACAAAGTATTGCCAGTCGTCCATCCAGACAGTGGCAGCGCGTGCCAGATTCGAGGTGAGAACCTCGCTCATGCCGCCAGGGAAGGTGTACGGTGTGCTGCTCCGGAATACGTGACCGACGTGGGAGCAGGGGCTGATCTCGATGCGTCCGCCGCACTGCCAAATGCGAAACGACATCTCCACGTTCTCGCCTCCCCAGATGCGCATGTCCCTGTCATATGCGCCCATTTCGTAAAAGTAATTGCGATCGATGGCAAACAGTCCACCAGCCATGCCCGGCGTGGCTATTGGCGCCGTGCTGTCTTTGTTTTCCTTTGCGATGGCTTGTCGTGTCTTGCGATCGGAGGAGAACCACCGGAAGCTCAGTTGCCAATTGAAAGCGCCCCAATGGTTCTCAAAGGTCTTCGTATAGCTAAAGTTATCATCCGATATGATGTCGATAACGGGGCAAATGACAACGTTGCGGGATTCCTTAATTCGAGCCAGCAGCGGTTCTAGCCAGCCACGCGAGCATTCGCAGTGTGCATCCAAAAAGGTGAGCACATCGCCACGCGCATGCTGGGCGCCCATTAGGCGAGCGGGCACCAAGCCGCTGCGCTCCTTCATGCGATACAAGCGCGTGGGCACCTTTAGCACTTCGATATACGCCTCGAGCTGACGCTTCAAAAAGGCTGCAAGAATAAAACGTAGGTGCTTAGCTTTGTAACGACTTCAATGAGTCATCGGCTACTTACAGCGATCGCTGGCATCGTCCACTAAAATAATTTCCTTAAGCAGATGTCGCGGCGAACGATTTATGACGCTCGTTATGGTGCGCAGCAGTACAGACCAGGCCTCGTTGTGGAAGACAATGATGACGGAAGTGGTGGGCATGTTCTGAGTGTAGCGCTTCTCCCGACATCTAGAATGGTTGAGAGACATATATATATTTAATATATATATTTAATATATATAGTTGATAGTGAAAAGTTTCCACTCTTTACTCACTCATTCGTTCTGTAGTCCTTAAGCGTTCTATTTAGTGGTATACGATCGCTGGCCAATAAATTAAAGCTATTCAGCTTGAAGAAGCGCTGCATACGAAAGCGATCTCGCAATGGAATTATTACGGGTCGGCCATCGGCGCCCTCGCCCTGTTTAGGTTCGAACTGGTTAATGTTGTAATCATCTGCAAATGTATAGTCATTGAACATTTAAGTTGCTTTTATCTATACTAGTTGTTTTTGGTATTGGTGTTGATGTTGATGTGATTGTGTATTGTGTCATTGATGTGGTTTATTAACCTGCAGTCATATTGCTGAAGATGTCTCCCTTGCCAATATAGTGAGCCACAATGTTTTTGTACGGCCACAGTGAGCGTCGTTTTGGCGGCGGTTTTGGATGACTTCGCACGTTGATTGGATCGGATAGAGATAAATAAAAATATAAATAAATAAGAAACAGAAAAAAAAAAAACAAACAAACAATAGATGACAATGGCAATGTCGGGCAGTTAACAATACAAGTGGAAATGCAAAATAGCTACGGAAAAAAAAAATTGAAAGCAAGGCTGGAAATGGAGATGAAGATGAAGTCGACTCAACCCACTCGAGTGAAACAACAGCCACTTGCAACATCACCTAAGCAGCTAAGCTGCCAAGCAGCTGAGAAGTAGTCAACTAGTCAGATCGTCGGTTCGGCAGACAGTCAGCTAATTTGGTAGTCAGAGAGTCAGCCAGTCAGTTAAGCAGCTATTAAAGTTTGCAACCGGTAATACACTCAGTTCGTCTGCAATTCAGCCAGATTGATTGCCAATCGGGTGGTCAGTCCCTTAGCCAGTCAGCTCGGCTGCCATTCGGGAAGTTCGTTCTTTTGTTAACTAGTCAGCCATTCAGTCAGTCTAACAGTCAGCTATTCAGCCATTCAGTCAGTCAGCTGGTCGGCTAGTCGTTCAGTCAGTCAGCCAGTTAGTCAGTTAGTCACCCAACTGTATTTGCTTTGAAGGAAATTATGCAATAGCACTGCACCGTAATGATGTTTTAGAGTTTGTAATCCAAGTCTGCTTGCAACTTCGTGGCAAAAATTTGTGCAAATTTCACTATTCGCATAGTTGAACAATGGAAGACAATGGAAATCATTCAATTTGGGGCTCACTCACCGCGGCTCTACTTCAGTGTTTTGTATACTTGACACATATAAATTTATGCTAATTGCAAACATAAAGAATGCAAAAAACAACAAAAACAGGTAGAGAAGCCAAAGCTTCTTTAGCTGCTGGAATCGCAGACCCATTTTGACGTGTATGGCTAAGCGTTATTTATTTTCGTTTTCTACTCGGAACAGAGCTGTCCGTCTGCACGGTGTTGTTGCCTTCAGCTACGTAGTGCTAATGACCGGCAACAGTAACCGAACCTCTCTCTCTGGGCTATACAAATTGATCACTTCTTTATATTTTGCTTATGCTGTGAAGTTGTCCGCTGCGAGCGTCGAACTTGGCCGCGACCAATGCACTGTATACACCTTATACTACACTATGCGCGGCGTGCGTGAGTGTGTATTAATTGACGACGCGTTATGAATACATGCTGGTCGAATGCTGGAAACTCCGCTTTTAAAGCGGAAAACTAGTTAAGCTCACTGCTAATATTTTTATTGTGTTGATATTTGTAAACAACATATCGATAGCGCGAGCGATAGTTTGTGGCGGTCGGTTAATATATTAACGCATAGGTGGCAACGCTATGTCGCGCTGCTTATATTGAAACATTGAGACGAACATTTATTAATACAATTGAAATATATTACCACCACAGTTGCTGCTTTATATTTATTAACATTTTAACATCATTAACATCATTTTTTTTATTGTCTACAGAACTTTATGCATGTGTAAAAATAACAATTTAACTTACTAGTTGCTTAAAAACACAACAGGTGGCGCTCATTTCAGTTTCTTTAGTTTTTAAACAGAAACACTTCGCGATGTTTAAGGTTATATACAAAACAATAAGTACCATTTCTATACAACTTTGAATACTGTTTAAATTGTTAACCAATTGTTTTTGTTTTTTTTTTTTAACTAACGGTAGGGACGTCTGCGTTCCGCATTCTGTAATGTAATGGCAAACAGTCCGGCAGCCATGGCAGTTAATAACTGCAATTTGAAATAGTTAATCAAGTACGTAGAATGATTAGATAGATAAACTTACTTCGAGGCCCACAACAGACCAATCACTAATGCGCTCATATCGAGTGCCTTTGATATAAGCAGCGGCCAGTCGTTGGTTACAGCCCACCGTATATAAATCCGTAGCAATGCTTGAGTTCTGATTCAAGTAACAGCTAGCGGGTACGCGTAATCTGCTATTGGCATAGTCCAGAGGGCCCGATTTGCCGCAACAGTGATACTAGAAGAAACAAATAGTAAGTAAATTGAAATAACACAAATTCAGTTCGTCTTACCTTGATTTCGTAGTAGGACATGCTGTCATTGCTGTACAGCTGCTGCTGCCAGGCATTGTAGATGGTTTCATTGGCCAACAAATCAAAGTTGATTGGTTGTGCGAATATAACGGTAATTTGTGCACATATTAATGCCAACAAAATTGCAACATACTATAAAAATGAAATAATAATAATTATTATTTATAGGCACACTCAAATAGATGTAATACTCACAATCCAATTGAGACGAATGTCCTCACGCAGTGCCGCAATGCAGCCAAAGATGGTGCTGCCGAAGACCAGTATACCCAACACTATGCCCAATATGCAGGGTATGCGAATGGCCACACTGTGCGGGAACACTGCTAGGGCATACGAGCAAGCCGCTATAGACAGTGCGCTAAAAACCTGATAGAAACATATATCATCTATCTGCCCAACTGATAACTCTTGCTATATTAGCTCAATACTCACACAACAAAGAAAATCCAAGACGAACGATGAGATTTTTAGCGTTTTCGTACCGCAACTCATTTTTGTTATATTTCGTGTGCGAGTATTCGTACAAGTTTAACTAAACTGAGCACGAGGAAAATGTACAAGGAACCATAATCAAACAAAAAACGCCAATGTTATTATTTTGCTGTGTCCATTTTTGTAGCTTAGAAACGTTCGCAGATAAGGCAAATAACATTCAGAAGCTCCATAGCTCTAGCTGATAAGGCGATAACAGAGTGATAACAGCTGTGCATAATTTATCGCTCGAATATATATGATTGGGTAGATCGTACGTATAGCTGTAACAAATTGATATTTTTCAGCCAATCCAATCAACTAATAATTAACTCGCATGTTTGATATGCACTCCTGAAATGCCGAGCTGCAAAATACAACTAAATTAGACAATTACATATGGAGATATATGTATGTACATATGTATGTATAAATATACATATTAATTTGAGTTTGTGAGTAAGTCAACATTGTCATCATTTAATATCAGTTGGTATCGCGGATTGTATGTGTGTGTGTGTGTGTGTGTGTGTGCGGCATTAGCATGCACTGTTATCAGCAAATTAGTTTAGAGAACGCTCAGTCTATGGCTCACGGTCATGCGACAAACTAGGGACAGACCGGAATGTGTATTACCCTAACTCTTGAGAGTATTTTAGTGTATTTTTTCCATTTTGTTCCATCTCTACTTTTATACCCTGAACGCATTGAAAATGGAAAATCATTTTACTTTAACATGCTTTATTCGGGTTTTTTATTTATTTTTTATATTTTTGTGTGTAATTATTTTTTTTGTTTTCTATATATTTTATTGATACAAAATAATGTTTACTTGTATTTCACTTCTTAGCCACTTATAACGTAACTGTCCGAGATTATCTGCCACTTTATTCTCAAGCGCCTTATATATGTAGTCATATTCATTTCATAATGACATAATGATGTTTCGTGTTGTACAAGGACTAAAAATCGTATCTTCCTTGTGTGCCACTTTATATTCTACTCATTTATCACTTGTATTTCACTTCGCAGTTCATACTGTTCTAATAAACTCAACCTTAACTGTTGCACCCCATTTTAGTTTAAATACATATTTCACGCCAAACAGTAATCTATAAGTCATATTCCACTTCAATTGCAATCTGTTATAGAAAGTACTTCAACTTATATTTAAACCACATTCCACTTATAGATAAAACATATACATATTTCACTTGCTTTCCATTCGCTTGACGACGATCGGATCCACATTTGATATATAAGCAGAATTTCGATTAAAATTTGATTCAGATAATTGATATGTTCCCTCTTGTATTTTTCCCCAGTTCCTTTCATTATTTGCTTTCCATATTTTGCGCACATTTCACTTATATTCCACACAAATATAAATATTCTTGTTCCATATAATTCACTTTACTCCAATTCTTCACTTTACTTCCGTCTTATTACACTTTCATTTTTTGATATGCTCACTTGGGTGTAGGTATATTTGCAATGAATTTATGTCAGTCATATTTATGGGCGTGTCCGTGCAGCTACAGGTATTAAGTTTGTGTATTGCTCAGAGTCAAGAAAACGACTCACTACTCACTACGTTGAGTTAACCAGAAAAGGGGCTTCAGTAAATATCTGATAAGCATAGCCTAGAGCTTTGCTTTCCATTAGCAGTGTGTGATTTCTCGCAGTGTTATTATTTCTGTGTTCACCCTTTTTTAAACGCCGTCACACAATAATTTCCCAGTAGAATTATTATCGCAACTAACTGACGGTGAAGCGGTACTCGGCTGTTTTTTAGTTATTCAGTCTAAAAAAAGTCGTCAGCGAAGCAGGTGCATCGATTTCTGATACCGTGTATTTTTGTATCCTAACAAATATATATTATATATATATATTTATTAATATATAAACCATAGCAAAATGGGTTGTGCAACAGCAACGATCAAATATCTAGTGTTCATATTCAATGCTCTCTGCGCGGTGAGTAACAAAAAATAACAATAATAATAATAATAATAATTAAGTCGAACTGGATGGCAGTTAGTCAGCTTCAAAGTTCAGCCAATTTTTAGTTTGGTTATCAGTGTTCATATAGACACACGTATGATGTATGAGCTGTGTGTGTATATAGCATTTATTTACCTATAGATAGATACCTGGGCGCGGCACAGAGAATGAATCAAATTGAACAATTTCCAAAAGCTGTTTGCCCGCCCGACGCACACTCCTATCTAAGTGGAACAACGCCTTATTTCATAACCGATTTCCTCAACTTGAACTTAATTCCATGTTTTAACTTTGTTTGGTTTTCTTCTTCAGATTTTGGGCATTGGCGTTATTGTTGTCAACGCCCTTGCCCTTAAAGATGTTGCCGAGGAGACACGCCCCCTTGTTATAACCTTCATTGTGATCGGTTCGGTTGTCTTTTTAATATCGTTCTTTGGTTGCTGTGGCTCCATCAAACAGAGCACATGCCTCATCTGGATGGTAAGTAAATATAATATAATGCATTCCCATTCGAATTTTCAAATTCACTTCTATATGTATCTCTTTTGTAGTACTGCATTATCATGCTGATCCTTCTGGTGCTGTCCTGCGTGTTGTGCTTTGCCTATGTGAATCGCGTTGATGAGTCACAGATTTCCCATGAGCAATTGAATACTGCCTGGGAGAAGCAGAAGAATGGCACGGATGCCATGGGCTTCTATCAGACGACCGTAAGTTTTAGACTATTGAAAACCAATTTTATAGCTTATATTGTTAGCCTCTTGATGGTTCATGATTCTTAAAACTTTTTTATATTCACCGCTACTAAAAGAGTATACAATAGAATAGTTGTAGTATTCGAATTTTGCCGTTAATTTGTGTCTAAAATATTTTAGAACTTTTATGATTATTTGTCTTAAATATATATTCATTTGTCATTAGTTAAAATGTATAACATGTGCAGACTTCAGCTAAATTCTTCTTAGCTTCTTTCATTAGAATATTGTAATATAGTTTCCAAAATATTAGATACCTTTCTAATCATCCATCTCTCTTTTACAGTTCAAATGCTGTGGCATAACAGGCCCCATTGACTATACGAAATCGAATCTAACAATTCCAGCTAGCTGTTATGTAACGAATAGCACTGCTACTACGTCCACCCACACAGTTTACCCCGATGGCTGCTTAAACAAATTGATCGATTTCTTTGAGCAGGCCATGAAATTGGTTAAGGTATTTGGCTGGATTTTGATAGCCGTTGAGGTATGTGCACTTATCTATAAAAAATATATATATATTTACTGTATTGACTCAACCTTAACAATCTGTTTGCTTTCAATTTTTTAGGCTGCCGCCTTTGTATGCGCCACGATTTTGGGCATTCACTTCAACAACGAGGAACGTCGTTCCAGATATTAGGCTAGTTTCTAATTATATTCTATTTGAATCAGACTATGCTCCAAAAATGTTCAAGAAGTTTGAGTAGAAGCTAATAAAGTATTTTAATTAAGCCAAACAATTGCTGTCTCTTAATCAGTCTCGGAGTAGCTGTAGAGTTATATAAGCTATGCTTTGACTAGATAAAGATCATTTCGATCATTCCCATCATTCTTGGCAATTATATCATATTGGAAAGTGAAAATGAAGCTAGTTGCTTGAAGCAAAATAGTGAATACTATAAATCAATTATCTAAAATTTAAATAGTAGTAAAAATTAAATAGTATAGTAAATAATTTCATAAACTGTGAATGAAACGTACAAAATGGGGAAAATATATATATATATATATATATATATATATATATATATATATATATATATATATAAATTTAGTATTACTATCAAAATGATTCATATAAGTTCAGTGCAAAGGCCGTTTGATAGAAAGTTGATATAATCAATTAACTAAAAATAATCATACCATAGATAAGGTCTAAAGAGTATCAATTTTCTAGATAAGCGTCCTGCAAGGCTAATGTATAGATCGAAATAAAATTTAGTCGTACTGAAGAGTTTTATATTTTAGCCCTTTAAAATACATTTGGCTTTTGTTCATTGTAAACTCTCACTGATTTATTAGCACAATTTATGGATTGTTAAGAGGCTCGTTAATCATCATGATTGATGGTAATTGACAAGTATATACTATGAATAAGATTAGTATTGGGTTTTACAACCGGGAATATATGATATACATAAATTTATAATCATCTCAGATTCTTAAAATTCCAGTTATATATATAAAAAAAATATATATACATATATACATAATAACATTTTATCCGCTAAAACTTCTTGTATCTGGTACAATTTTTTCAACATTATTTTGTATGGCTTGGCAACTCACTTGTATCTATTATATTCTAGCCCACATATCATATTTTGTGCTCTAAGCATGTGTCAAGTGCAAACTTTTGGGCTAACACAGCTAAACGGTGCTCACATGCGGCGCTCTGATTTTTGTGGATTTTTAAATGCAATTCTTAAGTGGATATGTTCAACGCGAATTCAGACACGCGATCACACATACAAACACACAAACACATACATACATGCAAACAGCTGTCAAAGTAAACGGTTTTGCATGCAGCTGTGTCGACAGTTTGTAACCTAAGTTTTTAATTGCCACACACCCAGCTGAGCGTGTGTTTTTGTGTGTGTGAGTGTGCATGTGTGTGTGTATAATATGCATATAACATATATAAACTGAATTACTCAAAATAAATAGAATTTAGTCAACGCACACACATTCATACTCACATGTGAACCGCTCCATAAACCAGTCTGACTTGTCCTTAGACATGCCACTGAAATCCAAGCCAGAAACTGTGAAAGATACCATCTGCATGGGCGGGTGGGTTTGGGTGTAACTACTTTCCCACCCCACCTCTGCTGGTGCTGCTGCTGCTGCTGCTGCTGGTTCTACTGCCATTCTCTAACCCTTTCTAGGCAAAGGTAACAAACACCTTGGCTTATTGTTAGAGCAAGTGCGCATTGCCTCGACTCGAGTTTTTTTTGTATATACCCTAAGTTTTGTTTTTCAAAGGTTAATTGCGATTGGGGAGACGCGTCGATTGTGCTATATATTATTATATATATTCCTTTTATTAGAGTCTATTTGCATTTTTAATATATCTATGCATTCACATATCTATTAGTATCTAGATATTAGTATATAGATATAATAGTACAATAAATAAGGGATTTGTATTTGGATTAATTTCAAGCCGAAGTTACCTGTGGGCTAGACTAGAGCTATAGTCAATAGATTTTCTATTACTGCACAGAAATAATGGCAAAAGTTCATATTTTCTGCTTAGCTTGAACACATCTACAGGGTATTCGCCAGCCGATCAATTTCACTTAAACCACTTTTACTTATTATTGTTTCCATTTTTGGGGTTTAGCTTTGCGCTTTTATGTTTAGTGTAGTTAGAAGCCAGTCACATTTGAGACGAGCTCACGTGCAGTTTTGCCAAAAGTATAATTCGGCTAACAGTCAGTCCGCCAGTCAGTCAATCAGTCAATTCGTCAGCCAGTGAAAAGCATAGCATAATTGCTGGCGCCTGATGAGTCGCATGCAAGCGTAAGTTTATATGCAAATAAAAGTCGTCAACATTTGCGCTTCGAGCTTCGGCTTGTGTGTTGCGCGGGTGGCAGCAACAAAATTGGTTAATTTGTTGCCACCGTTGCTCCTTAATTTTGGCACATATTCACGTGTCGTAAACTTTGTGCTCGGCAATTAGTAAACCCAGGTAACTGCCCTGGGGCAAACATTACAGTGGAACTTTCCCCTTAACAACTAACATTGCTGGCAGCACACGTGAATGGGAATGTGAATGTGAATGTAGTTCGACTGCTCTATTATATTTAGTTGCCCCCTCACACACACACACACATTCGCACACACACGCACAGAGAGACACATTTACATTTTATTACTCAAGTAATAAAAGATTTATAGCTGCTGCTGCTGCTGCTACGGCTACTGCTGTGTCAACACGCTTTAGTATTCGTTTAATTTTCATATCTGTTCCGTAATCTGAAAGCATTAAATTTGAAAAGAACACTATAATTCTGATAGTATAGTAGCTTCTGTTGAAGAGATTCTCTCTTGCGAAAATCTTTCAAATTGAACGAAGGAGAAAGATGAATAGAAAGAATTAAATAGAATAAGATAATAAAGAGAGAGAGAGAGAGAGAGAGAGAGAGGAGTGTGTGAGAAATAGAGCGAGCAATAATAAATAGGGAATAGATATTAATATTTATCTCTTTATCTCTGATAAAGTTGGGCTAGAAAAATGAATAGAGAAAGGGTGGAAAGAGAGGGGGAGTGTGTGAGAGAAAAAGAAAGAAAGGAATAGAGACAGAAAATGTATATAAAAGCTAAGAGCATGAGAGAGATGGAAAATAGAGAGATAGGAAGAGAGATGTCTATACACAGGGAATTAAATGTTGATGGTGAGAAAGGAAAAGGAAAAGAAAATGGAATACATAAAGAAACGTTTCTTTTTTTTTTGTATATCAACATATATATTAAATTTACACTCTTCTCTCAATCAGTCAAAGGCTACCAATACTATCAATTATTATTAATTATAAGAGATAAAAAAATGTTTAGAATTTCTCAATTCTTCTATCAATCAAACGTCTGAAGTTATCTCGACCCGTTTATCGAACCTGCTCTATTTGACTGCCTAGAACTGTAAATAAACAAACATGCATTACCCATGCACTACCCCAACACAATTAGAGCGCATTTCGTTTGATTGTAAATATGTCTGAGGGCTTTATCAATTTAATAAGTTCATAAATATATATATATGTATGTTTTATGTTCATGGAATATATGCAGCAATAACTATCAGTTAACGGCAGCACGAATTTCGTATACGCTATGGCAGCGATATTTATACGTATTTTATGCTGTATTTGCGGGGCGTCGCTGTTTCAGCAAGTGTCGTAAATGCAATCAAAGTACTTGAACTTTGCCCGTAAACCGCACAATGGCCGCGATTTCGAACAGCCGGATGCGCCACCTGGCTAAAGGTGGTTCCAAACCAAAACCGATCAAAAGTCATCAACTCGAAAGGCTTCGCGTGCTCATGGCTCAGAGCTCAAGTAATTTGCCCGACTACCAACACGGGACTAGGGAGAGAGAGAGAAAGAGAGGGCCAGCTAGAGAGTGAGCGGGTTGTATATGGCAACACTTTGACTGTGTGTTGCCTCCTCTGCATGGTGATGACACCCACATCGCCATTGCAATTGGAGCGCTGCCTTTGACTTTATGATAAGCGGCACGCAAGCCGGAAGAGTTTGCCTCCAAAACCAACGAAATTCCGATCCAACTATATATGTACTATATAGAAGCCAGCGGGGGGGCAGCCCGACAGCCTGATGTGCTCGGCGTGTCGGCATGTCAGTGCCGAGACATCGTCATCGTCATTGTGGCTGTCAGTGTGCAGATAGCAGTGCATGGGATTTGTTTAACTCTAGCCAATATCTTTTGATAATACAAAATATATATACATATATAGTCATGTCTGGCACTCCGGCCATGTCCACCTGGACCGCAATGAAGACGCGGTATGTGCTCGCTTGCTTTAATTAACACCTTTAGCTTTCCATTTTCAACTGCAGCATCACCGCCTCGGTGCGGACCACCAATCGAATGAATGCGTTGCTCTCCGAGTCCATGTTGAGTCGACGGCGAGCGCTGCAGAGTTCTGACCTGTACGAAGGCGGTGGAGCTGCCGGTGGAGGTGGCGAGGGCGGCGAGCGTAAGGAGAAGCCGAAAAATGATTGGAAATTCTTTCACACCAATTTCAATATGGAACGTGCCCATAAAATCATCGAGGATTGCATTGAGGAGCGTCTGCTGTGGGATCGATTCAGTCGCAATTTCGACTCTTGGCGCGCGCTGCAGCTGGTCGAGAGTCTCGCGGCCGAGATACGGGATCGGGTCAAGAAGCTAAACCACAGGCGGTGAGTGTTGCTCAGATTATAAACCACAAATCGGTAACCCAGTTGAACCCATCAAAAACGAAATCTATATAAATACTCCACAGCCATCGCATCGTGTGCCTGCTTTCGATTGTGGAGAAACAGAATCAGGGCATCTTTCAGCGAATGTGCCATCTGATGGATGAGAAGCGGGATAATTTTACGCAACTGGTTTACGAGCGACCCACGTACTTCATGATTGTCGTCCTGTATCTGGTCTATCAGGACTAGAGGCCAGTGAAACTTCCTACACAAAAAAGCTCCTACACAAAAGCTTTAGCATGTGCACCAACCAGTTGTGAACTAAATTAATTTAAGAACTGTTTCATAGACATTAGACAGATTTTGCATGTAGACAAAATTTTAGAAAAAAAACTAAATTAAATAAAAAAAAACAAAAAAAAATATTTTTAGTAGATTTGCTCTACTATAGGCCCCGGCGAGATTCGAACTCACGATCTCCTGTTTACTAGACAGGCGCTTTAACCAACTAAGCCACGGCGCCCCACAGATTTCAGTGGTAAAAATAGACAGCTTCAGGTAACTGAACTGCGTTCAATTTCTATTTATAGCTATCTACCTGAAAAGTCCATTGTTTAAATGAATATTTGTTCACATGTTTTTGTTCCGTAAGAGATATAGCAGCACATCAAGATAGTATATGTGGTGCAGGGAAGGGGAGGGATAGAGCTATGTATTGATTTATATGTATGTAAGTTGGCTGTTCTTTAGTACACTCATGATGGGCTATGAGGCGACATTAAGTGGAATATTGCAAAAGAATTTAAATATATAAATATAAATTATATATATAAAAATTGCTAGAAAAAATATAGAGATGACAGTAAATATGTATTTATTATTTTTATGTTTATTTTTAGATAATGGATTTATTTACTTAGTTTGAGTATATATGAGAACAAACTGAAATATATTTCAATTAGATGAACATTCTATTTTTTTTTTTAAATTTATAATTTTTTAATTTATCAATTATTGTTCTCTTATATAAAAAAAAAAATCTAGTTTAAAATAACTCCAAATTATTATTATTAACTCTATTTGATTATTTTAAGCCAAGTTTTGCAGAGTATTTAGTAATCAACCCCTTTATTTTCTACTAACATATACATATATACATTGTATTTGATAATAAATAGTAAATGCTTTAAATCTAGTTCAGCTTATCAGCCGTGTCGTTACGCTACGTAAAGTACCTGCTAGAAAAAAGCTAAATAAAGCAAAGCTTTTTTCATAAAAGCTTTTTAGCACTGTAAACTTCTATAGCTGTTTTTTTCGTTTCTCAGCAGCAGCAGCAGCAGCAGCAAGTGCCATGGCTGATTTTAACGACAATGGTAACAATTATTGAGGCAATCGCAGCCATGTTAATGGCAAACAACAATAACAACAGTTATGGCAACACACGGACGGAAAACGGAAACAACAATAAATGGCACAAATGGAACAAATGGCGATGCTGTTGAATTTCTAATTGAAAAATATTTCCTTTTCTGAAAAAAATGCAACTGTTGCGCGAAGTTTTCACGCTACGAAAGGCCCCGGCGAGATTCGAACTCACGATCTCCTGTTTACTAGACAGGCGCTTTAACCAACTAAGCCACGGCGCCCTGCGAGGTGCACTCGTCAGATGCCCTACAAATGGTGGCTGGAGAGCATTATTATAAATAACTGTGCATGCAGAGAAAAGCGCCAAGGAAAATAGATGTATATTTAAAAGTCAAAGCGAGAGGGAGAGGTGCGTAGGCAAACTTTTGTTTGGCTGCGAGAACTAGTTATGTAATCTATGCCATATTTATCTACAACTTGTGCGAGTCGTCAAAGTATTTATAAGTAGACATATCGCTCGCTCTCTACTGCTGCCACTCACCCTCTCCCGCTCTACCGCACTATCTCTGTACACATACTTTTGCAGCTGGCAGTAGGCATGTTTGTCTCTGTGAAGCTGAAGATAAATGCAAATGTTGGCCAAATGGAAATTATTTGTACTCTTGCGGCTACTCACGCGCACACACATACTTGCACACACCAGAGAACTTGAGCACTTGAAATGTATCTTTGAGTTCGCCTGCTAAACAGCATAAAAATAGCTGAAAGGCATTTACAAACTTCCATTCTCCACTAAATGTGGCTACTGTCAGAGACTTCTCGTGTTGGGGACCTTTTGCCATTTGTAGCCAGAGTTTGTCTTCGATTCGAGTCTGTGTAACGCAACTTATCTTTAAAGTTTCCTTCTTATGTCTGCACATAAATCAAGCGAAACCTTGAAACAGTTGCTAAACACATTAACACTAAATGCCATTAGGCTTACTACCTACAATTCCCGCTCCAATAACAATTGTTTCCTCTCTTCCGTCATTTATTGAGTAGCGCAACAGTTAAACGACAAACTTCCAATTCCCAACTCCGGCTGTAACTGCGTTTCGACCAAACTAATTGCCTGAAGTTAGTTGCTCATCAAATTGCCGCATCATTTTACGCAGATTTTTATCGCACTGCCAACAACAGCAGCCACCGAGCTTGACCAGAACAGCACATTCTAGCCAGGCTCCAGTGTCCAGGTCTGGCCCAGTCAACACACACACACACACACACGCACACTACACACCCATATGGACTGCCAGTGGCCGTCGCCGTACCTAAAAGTATCTAATGCGTTTCCTGTGTATCAGCCATGTAGTCTGATGTGTTGTAACGTTGCCTGTATCTCGATGTGTCTATCTGTGTTTTGTATACCCTGCAACAAATAGGAGCAGGCTAAAGTTGACTTTCTATTTAGTGAATGAACAATGAAGTAATAAAAGTATTTATAAGAAGAAAAACTTTAAGTATAGAACCATTAAAGTTAGTTCTTAGCATCTGATAAAAAAGTTAGGAAAAGGCAATAAAAAATATAGAATGTTGAGATCATTTATATCTATGCCTAGGAGGCAACATCTCGCGCTATTTTGTAAATTTAATATAACTATTTTCTTTATATCTTGACATCTGTTTTGTGGATTTTGAAAGAAAAGTAATATTTAAATCTAGTAATAATATTTAAATCTAAGTATATTCATAACTCTATGCTCTAACTATATTCCAGAGTATTTGTGGTTCGTTGAGCCGCCGTTAATCGCTTTTCGGGCTTGTAACATTGTAATTTGGCATGGAATTGAAGCGAATGCTTATCAGGACATGACTCCAATAAATTCGCTTTTGCCGTTTGGCGCTATCTCTCACTCAATGCAGGAGAAGGACTGAGGCGTATTTAACCCAATGTAGCCTTAGCCCCCGACTATATATAGAGCTCAAAGAAAGAAAGCAACACAAACAGAGAGAGAGAGAGAGAGAGAGAGAGAGAGAGAGAGAGAGAGAGAGAGAGA